TTTTATGTTCTTATTTGATTTATAGAAATTTCTTTTAATAAACCCTGATGCTTTGTTGGATTTTTAAAATAGTTTCATCAATATGTGGATTCCATGACAGTTTTTCATTTATTATAACACCTAGGTATTTTGCGTTTTTAGTCTGTGTTACTGGTTTGCCACGAATAAGATAAGTGGAATTAATTTGTTTTAGTTTTTTTGTTACTCTTAACAACTGACATTTTTCTGGGTGGAAAGACATGCTCCAATTTGATTCCCATTTCTGTAATTCATCTAATTCTCTTTGTAAAATATCTGTGTCTTGTGTTGTTTTTATTGTTCTATATATTATGCAATCGTCTGCAAATAATCTGACTTTTGTTCCTGAACTAATGCAAGTTGGTAAATCATTTATGTAAATTAAAAATAGTAGTGGACCCAAGACTGTTCCTTGAGGTACACCTGAGTTTATTGTTATTGGTGTTGATTTAGAGCCATTTATTATTACAGTTTGTTCTCTCCCTATCAGAAAATCTTTAATCCACTGATGCAGTGGACCATTAATGCCGAAATATTTTAATTTTTTAAGCAAACTATGGTGGTGAACTTTGTCAAAAGCCTTGGAAAAATCTAGTAAGATAGCATTTATTTGTTCACTATTATCTAAACCTTTTGAAAAATCATCAATTAGTCCTATTAGGTGTGTTTCCCATGATCTATACTTCCTAAAGCCATGTTGGTATGGGGTGAGTACATTATGTTTGTCTGAGTGGTTTATGATGTTGCTACATATGTGTTCTAGGATTTTACATGTGATGCTGGTAAGTGATACTGGTCTGTAGTTTCCTGGATCAGATTTTTCTCCTTTTTTTAAATAGGGGGGTGACATTAGCTTCTTTCCAGTCCTTTGGTACTCTGCCCTGGTTAAGAGATGCCTGAAAGAGTATTTCGAACACTGGGGCTAGCTCATTGCTTAGTTCTTTGAGAAATCTATCTGGAATACCATCAGGTCCAGACGCTTTATTTGGTTTGGTGTTGGCTAATAGTTTTTGAATTCCATTTTCTTGTACTACTATATCTTCTATGTTGTCTACTTGTTTCAAATTAAGAAATATGTCTTTGTCTCCTGGGGTTGAGAATGGTGATGCAAAGTATTTGTTTAGGATGTTTGCTTTAGTTTCATTATCATTATGTATTATGTTATGTTCATCTTTTAATGGCGCTATGCCTGTTGTTTCCATTTTCTTAGACTTAATGTATGACCATAGGTTTTTGTTGTTATCTTTAGATATTACATTGTTTATGTATTCACTCTGCAGCTGTCTGCTTACTTTTTGGGTTAGGTGTTTAATTTTTATATACTTTTTGTAAACTCTTTCTGCCTTGGTTTCTTTAAATTTTCTATATAGGTTTTCCTTCTGTTTACAAAGCTTCTTTAGTCTATTATTAAACCAGCATTTATTTATTTTGTTTCATGTGGATTTAGTTGGTATATGATTTTCTATAATGCTTTTAAGATGGTTTTTAATGAAATTCCAGAGGTCATCAACTGGTTGGTTAATGTCTTTTTCTAATAAGAATGTTTGTTGAAAGTTTAATGCAGCTTGGTGTAGTTGTGTTAGGTTACATTTATTCCAGAGTAGGATTTTTCTTTTGGGTTTTGTATTGGCTACTGCTTTTATCTGACTGTGTATTTTTATGATCTCATGGTCTGATAGACCAGGGATAATATCATAATCAACTACTAATCCAGGTCTGTTGGTTAAGAAGAGATCTAATGTGTTGTTTAATCTAGTTGTCTTTTTAATGATTTGATCTAAACTTGGGTTGTGTAAAGTTTCTGTGAAAAGCTCATTTATGTCCGAAAGGTTTTGGTGTTTATCTATGGTTAGTGTTTTCCAATTTATATCAGGTAGGTTGAAATCACCCATAATCCAAAAAACTGCATTTTTACTTGTCTCTTTAAGGTTAGGGTTAGGTACTATGTCGTTTGCAAATAATTATAAAAAAAAAAAAAACAACAACTGTCATAAATCATATTACTTCACCTTTGAACTGTAACGCTGCTTAGAGAATTTTTTTTTCATATCAGATATAGGATTGTGCAAAACAGGTTTTAAACCTCTTCAATGGCTGGCAAAGTCAATTTTTCGCCTCTAGTGTGCAGTTTTCTGGAGTTTGAAATAGGCCTAAGTTAAGATATTTTAAGAGGCTCACAAACCTTTTTTGTGATCCTTAATACAACATTTTTTCCCACCATGGGTCTATTTTGAACTTCGAAAGTATTTCAAATCTTAATTTTTTATCATTTTGGCTTTGACTCAAATAGTGTTGAAGCTTTGGTGGTTTTGTAGCAACATAACTTCAAATTTTGTTACATAAAAAGCATAAATGCAATGGCTTGTTCGACTAATGAAGCCATAATATCTAATAATCAACACTGTACTTTCTTTTTAGACTCAGTCTACTTTCATGTAGACACAATTAAGGTTATAAAATAAGATGTCAAAATTTTAAAATTAAAAAAATGTCATTCGACTAAAAAATTATTAAGGTACCCTACAAATCAATGTGTAGGCCTACGAGTTAATTTCATTCATAGGAAATGAAATTTAAAGTCTTGACATGCTTAAATGAGATCCACTATCGAAGACCCCCATTTACAGGTCGTAGACCCGCAATTTATTTTTCACTTCTGTAAACCCCTTGGAAGAACCCTGGAGTCTATATAGACCACTCTGGGAATCACTGACGTAAATGAATGTTTCTTTTTTTTTTTTTTAATTCGGGCAAGATGAATGCGAATGTTAAAAGTGGTTTAGGTGTTGTAGCTTTAACAAGTGCACAAATTATAAGACAAATTTCCATACGGACAATAAAGATTATTATTATTATTATTTATCATTTGTTTAGGCTTTAAAGGCCCATTTATCAAATCATTGTAAATTACCATACCGTACCGGTATTTTAAGATTTGTTACATAGTGTTATGCAGGGCCATATCTCATCGTGCAGAAACACTCGTAATTAGTCAATGAGTATCATATGCTCAATGCAGAGGTGCCCAAGTTAGTGAAAATACCGAGTTATCATGAACATTACAAAGCAATACAAACATAAAATGCAGCCTTAAGTGACTTGGTTTGATTTGAATAGAACAGAAACCAACCGACCAATCAAAAGGCATTACACACGGAAGAGCTTTACTAAATGGAGTCAGCAGTGCAAAAATAAATAGAAACAAACAGCTTGTCAACCGGATACAACTTAAAGCTAGCTATAGTCCTAACACCTGTAGCAATGGTTCAGTAATTTATCCCGATTTTTATTACTGCCTACATTAAATGGACCAATAATTGAAATAATCACACGAATCAGTGTTCTTTTGTATTTGTTTGGCGCATAATGAAAAAAAGGGCTGCATAAAGTGTGTATCTTGAACACTCTGGTTTTTTTTTTTATCAACTAATCGTGAATATCTTTCATGGTATAATCCTGCATAAGAAAAAATGCGATTCTATGGTAAGTTTACATTAAACCCTTATTTTCAAGAAATAATAACTAAGATAAACATAAACAAAAGATGAAGACAAAATCCATAAAGACAAATAGCTTTATTTGACCAATGAAATGACTTGTACATTGATTCAGTAGAGGAGAGATACATAGACAGATGCTCTAGTTCATACCAAATAGATATACACACAGAGAATTGGGGGCTGCCATTCCAGGAATTGGGTCAAAAATCTTGCTCATTTATTGAGATTGGAATCTTTAGTTTCATCCCAGAAAAGGAGCTATTGCACTCAAAATCAAACATCCTAAGGAATGGCAGCTTCTACAAATAATCGGCATGGCAATCAGAAGTTAGTCGTAGCAAAACTTGACCAGTGATCTCTTCCCACAGTTGGTACTTTTTGGTTTGAAATCTGACTACAATTGGATTAGAGAGATCAAACTTCAACACTAAGTTAACTATTGCAACAGCCTTCCCATAGAGAGAACCCTAGGATCAAGAGTTCTTATGGAACACAGAACTTAAGAGAACAAAACGAGAAAGAAAACGTTGTTTCGATCAATGGTGGAAAAACACTACATAAAAGGTAGATAACATGAATTAGTCAAACAGACTGGCAAGCAAGCAAATAATGAAACCACAGTGCCTACTCCTTGTGTAGAAAATGATTTAGAGAACTAAAAAGGTCAATAAAGAGAATGTTGTACAAGTGAGTCATTGGCCTAACCATCCCATTGGGAGACAATGTCTGCAGTAGAAAGCTACATAATTTATTATCAATCAATTAGGAGTTGACAGTAGACCAAAGAAAACAAAAACAAACATGCAAATATCAAACTGTGACACTCAAAAAAAAAAAAAAAAAAAAAAAAAAAAGTGATTTAACACTCAATGAGCACAACTTACACACACTCTCAAAGACACTCACACCTCTGCTACATCAACACAGACCCAAACTAGAGAACCACCAACATATGGATGCTATGTTTGCAAGAACATTTGTTTTTGTCTCTTCCTGGTAGTAACGAATACAACCAGATCAAAGTTAATCACAGTGCTGATGGGAGGAGCACCTCACTGCTTGCTGGGACTAAAAACTAACTAGGGTGAGTGCATCCAACTAGCTGAGAGAATTATGAAAATAGAACAATACTATGGAGATCATTGCTTAATACATGATTGACCTACTTTGCTTAAAGAAAGTGAATGAGCAAACATTCGGGCAAAATATCCAATTAGACTAAACATTACAAAGGCTGAGGGTAACAAATGTGCCTCACCATTGGAGTTTTCTTCATTTTAATCTGTTAGTGGCATTTTTTATTGAAGTTTCCATTAAGTCTCTCCTAAAAGTAAATTTTACCAGGACTATTTCAACTAGCTAGCAGATTACTGAAAACTTTTCAAGGATTATGTCTAATTTTGAAAAAAATGAGTTATTTAATAACTTTGACCAGAAACAAATATTGGGCAAAGCAAGAAAAAAACATGTATACAATACACCACACTAAAAAATACACTCTCTCACTTTCACTTACTAAATTAAAAAAAAAAAAGCCTTTAAAATATGTAAGGTATTAACAGGCCACATTCAGAGCATACTTGTAGAGTTTGTAAGACACACATTGTAGTGGACACATACACACAAAGACACCACTGTAAAAATAAAGTGCAAAGTATGATCAACAACAGTTACAAAGTGAACCATTTCCAAAAACTAGTCCTTGGATGATGATGTTTTTTTTTTTTTGTTTTTTTTTTTTCAAAATTAGTTAAGGTTTTATCTAATTTAGAAAACATCTAATCAAATTTTTTTAAAAATGAGAATAAATAAAAAACAATTTATACAAACATTCCAAGTAAATATATGAACAAGAGTTTCTAATGGACACTCACAACACACTCAGGGATGACCTTCAACTTCAAATTAATTGAAGTCATGAGTCCATGTGGTGCTCTAGTTTAAGAATGGATCTTTTGACATTTTTTTAATTACTAGAGGTGCTTTGCACAGCATAAAATAGTTTATAATGAGAAAAAAAAAAAAAAAGTAATGGGGACAAAATGCATTATCTTTAAATTAATCATTCCATTCATATATGTACAATGTTAAGGACAATAGTATCCATTCAAAAAGTCAGATCAACTTGTTCTTCAAATAAAGAAATGTGAACAAAGGACAGTCTTGAAAGTATTGTGATTGAAGTAAATGATAGTCAAAACTGACTGAACATTGCTGTGTTAAACAGAAATTAAACCTAAGTATAGTGTAGTGAATATTTCATACAGGCATTGAAAGTTCTGGAACCACTCAGAATGAACATGGGAGAGAAAAAAATCAAATGAAGATAAAGGCAATACATAAATATATATTAAACACACTAACATAAAATGCAGTTTACACAAGTTATATTTCTATAATGTCTGGTCCTACCACACAATTGCTCAGACACACAACAACACTAGCATGGTAAAAGTGCATATATTTGTCTAATAGTTTTCATGATCAATACTTTCAGCATACAATCATTACATTTGGACACAAAAGTAGGGGAAATCCAATGTCCAACTATACTCACAGATATGTCAAGGACTAGATAACTATTTGGTACAATTGAAGGATTTTTAAAAACTCCATTAATCAGTTGAGCTAGTCCAGGGATGGAATAACTGGAATAATTCAATGACATGGTAACACACAAAAATTGCCCCCACATTACACACACTACTAAAAAAATTTTGTAAAAAGTCAGTACCAATGATTCCAAAATAGGTTATAATGCAGTAAGCTATTTCTTTTTGTAAAATATCATTTCAAAAACTTCTTGTACTTTTAGTAAAAAAAAATTTTTATGCAATGTCAAAGGACAATCAAGACCACCATTACAAATGGTGTCAGCTATATTCATACCAACATTTGTTGCTATACAAATGGGTTTCTGTCATTTGAAGATAATGCAAAATCAATCTTGAAGTAAAAAGTCTTATTAAAATAAACTAAACTCTACTAGGACAAAAGTGCAGATTCTCTTGTCAGTCATCACATTCTGGTTTTACAGTCTCAAGCATTCAAGCTAGACACTGATTTAATTAGAATGGTATCCAAAACAAAACAAAACAAACAAAAAATAAACACATGGATGTTCTTTAAAAATGAATGGAGAAATCAAAGAATCCACCGAGGCAGCCCATCATCAAGCACATCACCATCACTTACAGCTAGGCAGGTAAGTCACTGTTAAGTCGCATTGTGTCACATGGCTCAGATATCGTAACTGTTTATGGAATACTAATACCATGGGAGAAAAACTAAAGCAAAGATTTCTTGCCATTCTCATCCTCTAACATCAATTTTAATTTATAGTATAGATATACTGATGAACTCTGACCTGCTAGTTATAGCCAGCTAACATGGCCTGTCTTTTATCTTCCACAACATGAAATCTGTTATTCTAAGAAAACTAGTTAAGCATTATGATTATGCTATGAGCAATCCATTCTTTAGTACAATGTTGACAAGAAGACATTACCAATGTTGAACAATGGATAGTCTGACTGGTCAAGAATTGGACTGTGTAGAAAACATCTTGCAGTTCTTACCAACAAAGTTTCATCAAGCATACAAGCATACTCGGAATACATTCTTGTAAGAATGAAAAAACATCTTCTTCCTTTAGTGAATAATGTGCTTTCTTAGCCCTTGTTAAATAAATGGTGAAATGAACAAGGGAGTTTAAAAGAACTCAAGTGAAAAATATTCAACAAAAAAAAAATCATACTAAAACACACTGCCAGACAGAATCATCAGAAATATGCACAATGCAGAAGTCTCCAAATCAGTTCATTTGTGTAATTTTATAAGTATTTTCTGTTCTTTTGTAAAAAGTCTCATGTATCTATGTGAGTGCATCAAGATAACCTAATGATTTTGTAGTGCAGCTTACTCTGAATTGAGAAAATCAGCTAGATAAACTGAAATTTGTAATACAATCTAAAGTATGCGACAAAAATGACAGCTTGGAGTGCGTGATGTGACAGGTGGTGAAAACTGACACTGACAGTGTGGCTAGAAAGGCCACAACCACATCAGTTCCATATCTTCAAAAAGCTATCCCAAGATCCTGTGGCTACAGCAGAGCCATCTTCGGTGACTCCCAAACAGCTTACGCGATTGTCATGACCTGCTAGGACACCTGTTGAAAAATTATTCGAAAATAATTATTAAACCTGAAATATAAAATGTACCCAAAAAAACATCTCATTAAATGTTTATAGTGAATGCCTCTATAACTACTAATTAGCAAGTTAATACATACCAATGCGTTCCTGCTTGAGCACATCCCAGACATTACAATTGAAATCATCATAACCGCCCAGCAGAAGGCGGCCAGATTTGGAAAAGGCCACACTCGTGATGCCACAGATGATATTGTCATGGGAATACATGCCAATCTCTTGGTCAGCACGAATATCAAACAGGCGGCATGTAGCATCATCTGAGCCTGTAGCAAATGCATGCCCATTCGGAAAATACTGTGGGGAAAAGGTTTAAGCAACTGACTATGATGACTGACAAAAAAATGTAAACTGACCCAAAGACCTAAAAAAAATAATTTTTATTCATGTTATAGAACTTACAGTAATTGCATTAATATCTGACTCGTGGCCTGAAAATGTTTGCTTGCACATCCCATCTCGTACATCCCACAGCTGATGAGTGAAAATGAAAGTATAAGATTAATATGAAAAAACTAATATTCTACTTGAGCATACAATTATTTTTTATTGGGTTAAGACTACCTCTAACCTTAGCTGATGCATCACAAGCCCCTGAAACAAAGGTCCTAAAATCAGGAGATGTCGATAGACTCATAACATCCCCTGTGTGTCCAGTAAAGGAAGTTGTCTGTTGTCCAGTTTCTATATCCCATAAAGCACTGAAATTATTTTAAAAGACATTTTTTTAAAGCATAAATTTTAAAATTTCATGAAAGGCTATTATTTTAGTTGATTAAATAAAAAATATATCTAATTTAGAAAAAATTGTAGGGCTTATATTAGAAGCAATAATTTCTTACCAACTCATATCTCCTGAACTAGTAACAATTGAGTTATCATCAATGAATCTACAGCAAGACAAATATCCAGTATGTCCTGGAAGCTCCCTACTGACTCGAACATTTCCCTCCCGAGTTTTCAGGCTATAAATTGAACATATGTTGTCTAAACCTCCACAAGCCACAAAGTTGCCACTGGGAGCATAGGCACAAGTCATCACCCAGCTTGAGCGAAGTGGGATGGCATGAACCTAAAAAAATTCAACTGCTATAATTAAAATATTTATAAATACAATGACATTATACTAGCAAAACAATTTTTTAAAATATTTAAATGTCAAAAAATAAAAAAATTATAATACTAATAAAAATAAGTTTTTTTTAACTGATTACAAAAAATCACCTTATTAGTTGTGTAACCATCCCAAACTATAAGTTTGCCATCTTGTGAAGCTGAAACTAAATTCCTAAAAAAAAATAAAAAAAAATGTATAAAAACATTACTAATCCATAAATAGTGGAGAAGGGCCTTTAATTGTAATTTCAACTGTATTTTATAGTCTAAACCTCAATTTATCAATCAACCCATTATTTTAAACATGTTTACAGCTAATGCCAATGAAATGAACAGAATTAACTTTGGCTTGTTTCTCTTATTGCAGACATGACTTTTGTCTTATTTGGTGTTTTTATATAAATGCTGCAGGAGTTAGGTACAACACAAAACATATCATAAGATCTACTAGCTTTCCTGGGAGAATAATTAGTCCTAGAACAACTGGAGTAATTAGATAATTATTTGCCAGTGAGATAAATAAATTAATCCCTTTCCTTCTATAAGTAATCTCTAATGTTTCTGGAAAGTCTACATTGTGGGATCCAGTAGCTGCATGGTCAAGTGCTCTACCACTCAGGCTACAAGTTGTACTTAAACCAATAAAACTGAATGAAAATTATTTTAATGTTAAGTAATATAAGGCCAACTTTAGCTTGTTTATTAATTAACATTAACAAACCGGTTTACAGCTTTTTCTACAATATGCCAGTAAACCACTTTTTTCTGTACTTGCCTAGTGCATGAAAAAAAATGAGACCATATCTAAAAATAATCAACATATCCTAATTAAACCACATGTTAAGCTTTGCAAATGGCTGCGCCTTTGTGTTTACCTTGAATTAGTGTGGTTTTACATGAAAATTTGCAATAAACCTTAACTAGCCATATCAAAGGACATAGGGGACAATATGTTTCAGGGGATCAGGGCCAATAGGGTTATAAACCATAAAGAAGTGATGAAGATAATGGAATTAATATTAAATAACCATTAGCAATTTTAAATGTAACATGATAATGTTAATTCAAGTGTTTGGCAGAACAAGCAATCCAATAAGCTAGCTAACAGAAATTTATTGCTGCTAGCCTATGGAACTTTCTTTTTTTTTGTATTGTAACACACCAGTCTCTCTTTGGTTGTCATTGTCTCTTAGCACTCATCATTGACTATCCTATACTATGATGTGATATGTCATGTGTTCAAGTACAATGGATGATTTTACAAGTCTTTCAACAAATTAAAATATGAATACTGTAGCATCTATAAAGGTGTAGCAGCTCTCCTCATACAGCACACAGTCACCAAGGCTTAAAACATCACACCACTTCCAAACCAAGGCTTCCTAGCACATTTTATACACCAGCAGAACAGCAACAGAGTGAAAAATCAATCAATACTGGTGGACCTGGTGCCAGCCACCAGGATCAATGCAGCCTCACTGTTACCATGGCAACCAAAACACCAGTCTCCACGCATCCCCTTATCTTATTTAAGAAGGGAGGCAAATCAATGAGACTGCATGATAAGCTATGAACTAACAATCTCAAATAATGAATAACAAATAATGTTAGCTGTACTTTCATGACTGCATTATACTTGAATAAAATGAATTAAGGCTGCTTGTGTTAAGAAATTCAACAGCAGTTTTTTTTTTTTTTTTTTTTTTT